TTTATATTAGATACTATACCTATAACCTAGAAGATTATCTATTTAAACTCTCTAATCATTCATCCTATCATAATATAATCCTAACTAACCTTCTATATATACCTAACTAATATACTGTCTGAGCAGTATAGTACCTACCTTTTTTGTACTGATTCTCAGGCCATTATACATTTCAGAATATGTTATCTGTTAGTAAGATGCAAAGAGCCCTTATTGTTAACTATCTACTTACTTTTAGAACACTAATAAGAGCTACTCTTATAGAGTTTACTCAGATCCTAATACTGACTTCATAGCATATTATTAGTACTTTTATTATACATTGCTTTGATTTCAAACTCTCAATTCAGACAGTCTAAAAAGACTGTGACCTGTCTTTAGTATATTAAGACTATCCTAATATCTTTTTTCTTTAGTCTAAAATCTAGCAGCCTGGTTGGTGGTACTTCTTATCTAAGATTCTTGTCTGCCCAATTCCTTTATATTAGTATCTATTTCCTAGGTCTAACCTTTCAGTAGTATCATCAAATATCTGTATTATTTCTTTGTTTAGAATTTTCAAATGAGCTTCAGCTTCTTAGTTTTATGGATTTATATAACCCAAGAACTTATTTTAGGTTTGCATTACCTAGTACCAGTTTGCATTCTTTCATGTAACAAATTATACAGATGCCCCAGACCTGCCAGTTATGCTAATATGACTATAGTTACAGATATCTTATTTCAACTGATTAACAGAATACTATTATTGTAATATCATCTATATATTATATAAATAATTATCCAAATTTCACCATTAGTGAGTTTTGAACTCACAACCTACTACTTGGGGAAATGACAACTTATTCACTTTACTAAGTTGCCACACTCTAGTTAATTTTTTAAATTTTAAAACATCTATTATATTATACTTGTATTAAAATTTTTATTATAACTTTAATCAAAGATACTTCAATAACTATTTAATCAATTTGATGAAATTTTTTTATTTAAATTTTACAGATCTGTAAAATTTAGATAAAAAAAATTTCATTGAATTTGATCAAGTTTTTGTTAAGATACCTTTAATCAAATTATTTTTTAAATTTTAAAACATCTATTATAAAAAACTGTCAAAATTTTTATTATAACTTTGATTGAAGATATCTTGACACTAAATTGATCAATTTTGATGAAAATTTTTTTATTCAAATTCTAAAGATCTGTAAAATTCAAATAAAAAAATTTTTATCAAATTGATTAAGTAGTTATTGAGATACCTTTAATCAAAGTTATTTTTTCAAATTTTTAAATATTTATCATATAACATTTGTATTAAAATTAATAATAAAATTTAATTAAATATATCTTAGCAACTACTTGATCAAATTTGATGAAAATTTTTTTATTTTGATTCTACAAATTTGTAAAATTCAGATAAAAAAATTCATCAAATTTTATCAAATGGTTGTTGAGATATTTTTGATTAAAGTTTTATTTTAAATTTTAAAATATCTATTATATAATATCTGTATTAAAATTTTTATTATAATTTTGTTCGAAGATATTTTAGTGACTATTTAATCAAATTTGATAAAAAATTTTTTATTTAAATTCTACAGATCTATATAATTCTGATAAAAAAAATTTCATTGAATTTGATCAAGTGGTTGTTAAGATACTTTTGATCAAAGTTTTTCTAAATTTTAAAATATTTATTACAAAAAACTATATTAAATTTTTATCACAATTTAGATCAATGATATCTCAATAATGACTTGATCAAATTTGATAAAAATTTTTTTATTTAAATTTTACAAATCTATAGAATTCAAATAAAAAAATTTTTATCAAATTTGATCAAATTATTATTGAGATATCTTCAATCAAAGTTGTAATAAAAATTTTGATACAAGTATTTTGTAAAAATGTTTTAAAATTTAAAAAAATAACTTTGATCAAAGGTATCTCAGTAACCACTTGATCAAATTTGATGAAAATTTTTTTATTTAAATTTTATAGATTTGTAAAATTTAAATAAAAAATTTTTATCAAATTTGATCAAGTCATTATTGAGATATTTTCGATCTAAATTGTAATGAAAATTTAGTATAGTTTTTTGTAATAGATATTTTAAAATTTAAAAAAACTTTGATTAAAGATATCTTAGCAACTACTTGATCAAATTTAATGATATCTTTTTTATTTGAATTCTACAGATCTGTAGAATTCAAATAAAAAGTTTTTATTAAATTTGATTAAGTAGTTGCTAAGATATCTTTAATCAAAGTTATAATAAAAATTTCAATACAAGTATTATATAATAGATGTTTTAAAATTTGAAAAAAAACTTTAATTAAAGATATCTCAATAACCATTTGATAAAATTTGATAATTTTTTTTATCAGAATTATATAGATTTGTAGAATTCAAATAAAAAAATATTCATCAAATTTAATCAAATATTTATTAAGATATCTTCAATTAAAATTTTATTAAAATTTTAAACAAATATTATATGATAAATATTCTAAAATTTGAAAAATAAAGGATGGTGATCCTAGTATAATAGTTGAGTTGTTATCCTCCAAGCAGTAGGGTCCAATGTTCAATTTTCATTAGTAACAGAATTTGAAAAAATGGTCCTATTTCAACAAACTTATCTGCAATCTGGGGTTTGTAGATTCTATAATTTTGGTTATACCAAGACTAACTTTGGAAATGTACAATGTTATATAAATAAATTTGAAAAGTATATATTCAGATTAGAAGTCTGCTTGGAAATCCTGAATGGAGAGGTAGTACAACTTTTGACAGTGCTACTTGTAAAGGTCTTGATCTGAAGAAGAAAACCTAGAACAGATAATCTGTACAAGCAAGAACCTCTAAATAGAAGGTTCACCAATCTGGCTATTAGTTAATTTAAACATAAAGTCATATTATATAGAACTAACAGGATTGGTAATATAGAAGGACTTGCAAGAATAGACAAGATATTGATTAGGTTGTAAAAAAAGAATACTGGAGTTGTATAAACTTTGCAAGAGTTGTAAACTAGGTTTAAATAAATTAGAATACAGAAGGCTCTAGTAATGATGTCTTGAGAATAACTTGTATAAAATAAAATAAAGGTTCTAAAGGTATAAGTATGCATCTATAACTTCTTGACTAACATTGTGTAATGAAGATGTTCTAGTAATACAGTAAGAATTGCAATACAGAGTGTTTAAATAAGCAATATCTGTAGTTGAGTTGCAGATATAGCAGTTAGTATAAAACCTATATATAGGCAGACTACTTAAATTAGACACCAAAAGTATACATATGGCTAAATGTACTTTTTAATATAAGATAGCTCTTCTAAGATAATCAGATCATGAGTTACTATGTTTTACTATATTAAATAAAAAAGCACTAGTTTCCAAAAAACTAGTTTAACTATAAAAAAAAAAAATTAAAAAATTAGCTATATAAATTACAGAAACCAGATAGAAAGATGAAAGCTCACTTGGAAAACCTGAATAAAGAAGTAACCTAAACTTTCAATAGTGCTACTGTAAAGGCTAGACCTATAAAATAAAACTAGAACTTGTAAAACTAGGCAAATGTGTTTGTCTTTGAGGGCTAGACCTATAAAATAAAACTAGAACTTGTAAAACTAGGCAAATGTGTTTGTCTTTGAGGAGGAACCAAATAAACAAACCAGGCTGCCAAAATTTTTAAATTTTAGAAAAAAAAAGATACATGCTAGCAAACATGTAAACTAGAAGTATAGTTATAGTTTACCTTTTTAGGCTATCTGGAATAACAGTTTAGTAAAACTTGAATTGAATATTAAAGTAGTAAGAATATATTATGAAGTCAGTACTAAGATTAGGATAAACTCTACAAGAGCATAGCAGTTTAATGATACACTCTAACTATTAGTATTGGTTTCAGCTATAGCAATATCAGATTAACTATAAGAATAGAATATAAAAGATTCTAAAAGGTTTAGTACAAGATCAAAGTTCCAAAAAACTTCTTTAAAGACTTAGTAATCATAACATATTTTTACCAACATTGGTCAGGATTATTGGTAAACAGAGATAGATAAATATAAAAACTAAAGTAGTTAAATAGAAAATTTACAAGCAGGTTTTAGATATGGCAGCTAGTGTAGAACCTTCAGGTGAACTACTTAAATTAGACAATAACTAAAATTGTATAAATGACTAGTTGTATATTCTTTTTTTAGTTGCTCTCTGTAGTTGTAATACAACTATTAACCAAATATATTATTAATAAAATTCTAGGTTACAAGTACTCACCTTAATATTAAAAAAAAATTTTTAAAAAATTAATTTCTATTGATAATATCTTAGCAACTACTTAATCAAATTCAATAAATTTTTTTTTATTTAAATTTTACAGATCTATAGAATGCAAATAAACAAAGCTTTATTGAATTTAAATATATAATTACTAAAAATATTATTAAAAAAAGTATTAAAAATTTTTATATTAATTTTATGAATTAATTTATTTGTACCCTTAGGGTATATTAAGATTTTATGTACCCTGTTACAAATTTGTTAATCATATGTTATACAACATAACTAACAATTACAATCGTATGCATCAGAGAATAAATCATGAATAATAAATTAAATAAGTAGTAAACAAATGACATAAATTGCTATTGGGCATAAATACGAACAAGAGACAGAGCTAAAAAAAGCTTTTTTTCTCTTGTAAAAAAAAAGCTCATAGCAAACACAAATACTAGCTTTCAATTTTATTTCCTTTGGATTAAACAGTTTTAATACACAAGTACTGCAATAAGTGTTAAAAGGAAATACCTATTTCACGGGTACATTGGTGGTCTTGAAAACCTGTAATTAGGGTTGTTGCATAAGCCAAATTTTAATGGCATGACATTAAAATTTGGCTTGCACCAATACTTGTATAGAAGTTTGTTTTAAATAAGATTATAGTATTTTAATACTGTGCAACTTACTGATTTTAGATACATGTTTTAGGTCAAAAAAAAAACTCATTTGAGTTGCCTTTTACAAAAATGGAAAGTGAAGATAATTCCAGACCAGCTGAAGAGCAACCTATTAATATTTCACAAAGGCATGTTAAACCTTTTAACCTCTTTTAGCTCAATAAAATATTACATTTATCTCTCAACTAATCAAAAATTCAAATAACAAGTGATCAAAATTCGGCTGAAGCAATAGATGCTTCAGCAGTTGGACAAACATTCTGTGATTGGGAGGAATTGGATCTCTTTATTTCTCTTTATGCAAAAACTCAAAACTTTGTTAGTGTTATACATGGATCCAAATATAATAAGGGAGTTTGTCAAATTCGTCAATATGCTTGTAAACATCAAAGTTATAACAGTGCAAAGAACAAGACTAATATTACTGAGAACCAACAACAGACACGAAGTAAATGTACTGAATGTTATTGGGTCATTCGTGCTAGTTGTCCAAAAACAACAGGCATATTGAGCATAAGTTCCCTTTGTCTGGATCATAATGATCATCCAATAAAGGATGAAACCAATAGGTTTGCGTTAAAATACTGGGTGTTTTTTGAGAGCATGTTAAGAGACATTAAATTCTGGACTGAGATTGGTAATATTAGTATAAGGATGCAGTATCAAATGCTGACAAGTCAATATCCAGATTTTTTCTTTTTGCCTCAAGATCTCTCAAATGTTATTCAGACCTTTAAATGACAAAATCGTGTTGAATATGAGGTGGCTACTTTACTTAATCATCTTTTAGAGCATAAAGCTAAAGACACCAGATGGATTATAGACTGGAAGGTTGATCCTACAAATAACTCTCTTGCATTCTTATTTTGGATGTCACCAGACCAATATGATTTGTATATTTGATACAGAGACGTTGTTCAACATGATAACACTTATTCAACAAACCAGTTTAAGATGGTGCTGGGCTTCTTTGTTATAGTAGATAATAATAACTGGTCTCATTTGGTAGAACAGGCCCTTATGAATGATGAAGCGGTTGAAAGTTATGAATAGATATTACAAACCCTAATTTCAAATACAAATGCTGCACTTTTAACAATAATTACTGACAATAACCTTGCTGTTAATGCTGCTATTGCCAATGTATTACCTAACACATATCACATCCATTGTATATTCCATATAGGACAGAATTTAATTAAAAATTTAAAAGGCAGAATGAGAGAACGATATAATGATTTTTCTAAAAAATGGTATCAAATGCAAAATTCTCCTTCATGTCAACGGTTTTATTATTTATGGAATAAACTTTTAGTGGAGTTTCCTGATGTTACTTCATATCTCAATCATGCTTTTTTTAATGAAAAAGAGCGTTGAGCTATTTGTTACACCTCTAAGGTCTTTAATGCTAGAATGCAATCCACACAGAGAGTTAAAGGTCAAAACACCATAATTAAAAATTCAGTAAATGACAGCACATCTTTAATAAATCTTGTTAAGCATATTGATGAACAAATTGATTGAGCATCTACTTATGTTCAATACAAAAACTGGATTCATTCTATTATGGGATCTACACTTACTCATGCTAGTTCTGAATTTTCACCAGAAATCGATCAATTGATTACTATCTATTTAACACCAGCCTCCTTGTCTATGCAATGACAGGAGATCACTTAAGCTATCTGGTATACATCACGTCTTATTGACAATTTTGAAGAGCAATTCAATTTAACTAAATTACCTAATTCAACTGAACTATCCGATTTAACTGAACAATCCTATTTAACTAAACTATCTGATTTAACTAAATTATCCAATTCAATTGAACAGTTTGATTCAATGGAGGTGCTTGATATGTTTATTGAAGATGCTGTTGATGCGCCTGCTATTTTACTTAGTGAATTAATACCACCTATGAAAGTTGAATCCATTATTGAAATATGGGAGGTTACTCGACACAGACATAAAACTAAAAATTATGTTGTATTGTTCAAAGACAATATACATTTATGTACATGTCTAGGATTAATTTAATGCAGGTTGGTTTGTAAACATTTTTTTCAAGTCATGACCGTTTCAAATTATGCCGCATTTCACATTATGCTTATATCAAAGAGGTGGTACACTAATGAAAAACAAGTTGAATCGGAAACCCAAACATCTCTACATCCTTTCATTATTGGGTTGGACAGTACAAAAAATTTAATTCATACTGAACAATCTTTTCCTGATTTATTATTTCATTTGCCAAGTATTTCTTTTGGCGATGTTCATTCTAAAATTAATTACTGCAAATCCTATGTAACAGCCAATAGATTGTTAAAAAAAGCCATTCAAACTGGGTTAAACACTGGTACTATTGCAATAAAAGAACTTGAAGACTTCATGAATGGCTTTATCAACAAGTATGCACCAAAAAAAAAAGAAAAAGTCATCTACAGAAAAGTAAAATACAACAGGAAGAGAATGATGAGACCACTTCGAACTGCAGCTTTAGTGACAAAGAAAATTTCATAGAAATTGAAGACCCAGTAGTTCATGCTAAAAGAGGTGCTCCAAAGAAAAAGCGATTTAAGGGGTTCCATGAATTAGATAGTAAAAAAAAGCCTAGTGTCAAAGAACATTCAAATGCACAAAAGTCTAGAAAGCCAACTCAATACCAACAGTGTCAGAATACTGGTCATAACAAAGCTAGTTGTGAAGCATGGCACAAACGACAAGGCGTTCCTTATTCATATTGAATAAGTAACTTAAAGAAAACCTAAAAATTCTATTTAATATTATTTTCAGGTTTTTTTGGTAACACTCAAATAATGTTCATATATTCAAAATTGTTGTATAGCTGTCAATTGTGCTAAAATGAATTGAGATTTAAATTGTTAAATTCAAACACACATTAATAATCCTGTATCAGTTCTGTTATTAAAATTTCTAGCCCTTTAGTAACCACTAGGTCAGTTGTGTAATATCAAAATAATTACACTAGTATCTTTCAAAAATATACATGTAGATACTATTGTAGTGAGTATCAAACTTTCAGAAGATCACGAGACACTAAAAGTGGGAATTTTTTAACTATGAATATTCAATTCATTCGATTATATAATTTTCATTCATATAGAATTTCAAAGGCATATTAATCTTAGTAACAGGGCCAGATATTAATAAAATAGTACTGTATGACAGTACAGATTTGGATGAAATTATATTTAATTTTTGACAGTACGTATCAGTATGGTTTATATAAATTGAGTTAGGGCAAGCACAGGATGATCTTTTTTGTTTTAGGGTATTATAATTTCCACATATCCGTTCTAATGTGTGTTTTCATATTATGCTATTTTGCTATATATTCACTTTGGCCAAATAGGTCTTGTATGCATGTATGTACATATTTTGATCGATGCAAATAAAACATGACAAAATGCATTGTAGATATTATGACTAATTTACTTACATCGTTCCGCATTAATCAGATTTTAATATAAGGAATGCAGAGCTTATAGAGAAATTTTTCGTGTCTAAAATATTAAACCATGCATACACAAATACTAATTAAACTGCTTCTGTAAGTGCTGTATGTTCTTGAAACTGTTCTTCAAAATAAATACATATGAAAGTATTTACATTAGGGTTAGAGTTTATAGGTATTTAGAAATTAGTGGGTTATATAGTAAAATTGCTTGTATGAGCTTGTCTTAGTTATATTATATATCTATATATATTACAATATTAGTTATAATTGTTATGTGATATTTAAATATAACAATATCAAATCATGTGATAGGGTACATATACCTTAGGGTACATATAAATAAATCCTAATTTTATATAATAAATATTTAAAATCTTATGAAATTTTGATTAAAAAAATATTTTGAAATTTATTTTTTTATAATAAGTTTTATTATTATTATTATTTTTTTTTTTAAGAGAGGTCTTTTCTCTAGTCCTTTATTTCAGTAATATATAATTAAGTACAACTAATACAAATTGATACATTAAACTAAGGAAGTAGAGGTTAGGGCTACTTTACCCTCAATCTATTCTTAGCTAGAATGATTAAGAGACCTCTAGTCTATAGATTGAATAATAGGAGATGTTTGGTTTAAGTATGTAAATCTATTAAGCCATAAGGTATATTGCCTATCTATTGATGTTAGTAATGTGTAATCTGGGTTAGTGATAGTAATAATTGGTGCAGATGAAATCTGATGTTGAATGTATGTTCTACTCGGTTTCTATATATATTTGTATATCTTTTTTGTAATTCGGTGATAAATGTTTGGTAGTAATTTCTTTTTTAGTAAGCCTATTTCAAGTAAGTTATTTGTTATAATTCCAATCAGGATTTGTTAGTTTATGTAGATGTTTTGTATTTCTTGAGCTAGGTTTGTTGATATTGTTGTTTCAATTTCATTGTCTTTGCAGATTTTTGTTATTGCTTCTTTTATTATTTCTTTCAATTCTATTTGGTTGTATAGGCAGGTAAGCATATAGACTGTGTCTTCTAGTATGTTTGGACACTTTGCACAATATGGATTAATATGAGTTTTTGGGTTTCTTTTATAAAGATTAAGGTGTGTTGATAGTTCTAAGGTTAGAATTTTGATTTTGAATGTTTTTAAAATTGATTTTGTAGGATCAGTGTTTCAGTTAAAGATTTGTTTTTGAAATTAAGATATTCAAATGTAAGTTTTCAATTAATGTTTGAAAGATTGTCTGAAATATGTTTAATATGCTTTTGATTATTCCATGTGATGATTGCTTCTGCTTTTTGCAATGTTTTAGGTATTTGGCGGATAATGTACATAGTTGGTGTATTCATTATGAAGAGGGTAAAGATAGAGTTTAGTACTGTATTGAGTATCAGGTCTGTATGGAATTGACAGGAGGTATTGTTTATGCTAATTTTTTCTTCTATTAGGTTGATTTTAATTTTTAGGTTTTTTGCATTGATTATGATATTAAGCAGAATAATGATGTTGTTGAAAGGGGTTTTCCTTAGTTTGTGTTTTTGTTTTGTTAACATTGTGAGCATTGTTGAAATTTTGTTGAAAATGTTGCTTTTATCGATTAATATTTGGATTTTCATTTCTTCTGTTGTTACTATAAAGATTATTGCAAGCATTATAAACATTGCGTAATCAGAG